GTAAGCACTCTAAGACATGTAATGAGGGCTCACTTCCTGCCAGGCTCTGTCTGTAAGTGCCTGCTAGGCAAAGTCCCACTGGATCACAAAAGTCTGCGAAGTGGCCCTTATTTTCTCCTCCATCTCACAGATGGAGAAACCAGGACTCATCAGAGCTCTATCACAGTCGACTGTGTAGATTAAATGAGATAATATAAAATACATACAGTGTCTGACACATGGTGACTGAAAAAAAAAAGAAACTTCTCAACCTTGAGAGTGATCATGCTTTGAAATGCATACAATGACAATGCCTTTAAAATACACCCCTATATGTTTAACTAGCATATGTGAAAAAAAAAAATATCTGGAAGTATGCTCACCAAGCTGGGCAAAGGTGTGACCTTGCAAGAAGAGGATTTTTACTTTTTTTAACCTTCAGGATTTTTTGTTGTTGGTGTTGTTTTGAGACAAGGTCTGGCTCTATCGCCCAGGCTGGAGTGCAGTTGTGTGAACTCAGCTCACTGCAACCTCTGCCTCCTGGGCTCAAACCGTCCTCCCACCTCAGCCTCCTAAGTAGCTGGGACTACAGGAATGCAATACCATGCCCAGCTAAATTGTGTAGAGATGGAGTTTCACCATCTTACCCAGGCTGGACTCAAATTTGTAAGCTCAAGTGATCCACTGGCCTTGGCCTCCCAAAGTGCTGGGATTACAGGCATGAGCCACCATACCCAGACAAGAATTAGTTGTTTAAACAAGGAAATGTGACTTAAATCACATAAAAAAGATCAGAAACACTAAAAAAATACATAGAAAAAATAACCTAGATGGAATATGTCAAAATGTTCATGGAATTGCCTGATGGGTTTTTTTCTGCTTTTGATTTCTATACATGTTTTGGCTTTGTTTTTACTAATTCATTTTTTTAAAGAGACAGGGTCTCACCATGTTGCCCAGGCTGGTGTCACTCCAAGGCTCAAGTAATCCCCCCGCCTCAGCCTCCTGAGTAGCTGGGATTACAGGCATGCATCACCACACCTGACTCGCTTTTAGTCATTCTTAACACACATTCTCCTTATAAAATTATGGCATATGCCTTTTGTGTTTTAAGAAGGCCTTCTCTACTCCAAGGTCACAAATATAATCCATTTTTTCTTCTAATAAACTCATTATCTTGTTTTTCATGTTTAGTTATTTAATCCATCTGAAATTTTAGTGAATGGTGTGAAGCAGGACCCTTAACTGGTTTTTTTTTTTTTTAAATACCTGGCCACACGCTAAATAATCTTTCTTTTCCTCATAATTACAAATACTACCTTCATTAGATATTGTTTCCATGTAAATTTTATCAGTTTCTATGGTCTATCCCATTGATCATTTTATCTATTTCTGTATCATTACCAGCTTGCTTTGATCACTAAATGTATTTTGACATCTGGTAAGCAACCACCCTTCCCTCTACCCCGTCTTTTGTTTTTCCAAATTGATCTTGACTATTCTTGCACATTTATTCTTCCAAATGAATTTAAAAATCAATTTGTCGAGTTCCATGATAAATCCTTTGGGATTTTGATTGAGATTGCATTTACTTATAGATTAGGTAGGTATCTTCCAGCTATAAACATGTAATTTATCTCTAGTTAGGTCTTTTATAGTCATCTAATAACAGTATTTTACAGCTTTTGTGAACAAGACATTATAGGTTCAGCACTCAAGTCTTAGTTCAAAAAACTTAATTCTCTTGCAATCATATCGTCTACAAATTAATGTTTTGTCTACTCCTTTCCAATATCTGAGACTCATTACTTTTCCTACTGTGTTGGCTACAATAAGACTTGCCGAAATATACTGAACAGTAATGGCAATAGTGTTCATTCTTGCCTAATTCATTTTTGTGCTGGAGTGCAGTGGTACAATCACAGCTCACTGCAGCCTTGACCTCCTAGACCCCAGGGATCCTCCCACCTCTGCCTCTGAGTAACTGGAACTCCAGGCACAAGTTACCACACCCGGCTAATTTTTTGTATTTTTTTGTAGAGACAGGGTTTCGTCCTATTGCCCAGGCTGGTCTCGAACTCCTGAGCTCAAGCAATCTGCCTGCCTCAGCCTCCCAAAGTGCTGAGATTACAGGCCTGAGCCACCACAGCCAGCCGCAGCCTTTTATTTAGATTTGCTGAAACACTTCTCCACTAAGTAGGTTTTCTATGAGCAGCCTTCATCGTATTTCTTTCCCTTGCTAATTTTTATATATGCATGGACAAGAATATCATCAAATGCCTTTTGGTATCTATTAAGGATAATTTTTTTCTCCTTTATAGATTCTTAAAATTATATTGGTAGGTTTTCTAATTTTGAATCAATCTTGCATTCCTGCTAATAGTCCTTTTTAGTCACACAATATATTTGTATTTATTGTAAAAACAACAGAAATGTATTTTCTCATATTCTGGAGGCTACAAGTCTGAAATCCAGGTGTCAGCAGGGCCCTGCTCCCTCTGCAGGCTTTAGGGAACAATCCTTCTTTGCCTCTTCTAGTTTCTGGTGGTTGCTGTCTGTAAGTTTATTTTTGATTTTTACAACTGTGCGTCTAAGTGAAAATAGCCTATATGTACCTTTTATAATAAGGAAAATACACACCAAAAAAGGTAGTACACGTATGTATTTTTGCATTGTCTACTTAAAAATGCACAGGTAAAGATACACTTAATATTTTGAAAAAGCCTGGTATGCAAACTGAATGTGTGCAAAGAAAACAAATGAGTAGTTTTAACCTCTACTTACCGAGTTCCCTGTTTGGGTTACTGCTGTCGTCATCAATCCAGCTACTCAACCCCAGCAAGAATCACCGAAGGCTCCATTCCTCCCTCCCTACACTGTTCCCATCCTAGCATTCACCAGGTCCCAAACCTTCTAAGGTCATTCTACTCAGGTCTCTGCTGGGAGGCTTCAGGATGGAATGGGGGGGAAGTCAGGATTTTAAGACAGACTTGGTTCCAATCCCATTGCACATTACTGCATTCGCTTGAGCAAATAACTTTACCTCTCTGGGCCCCAATTTCCTCATCTATAAATACACACGTTCCCATTGAAGAACTGTGGTAAAAGTCAAATGAGATAACATGCGTAAATTAACTACCACGCCGTATTTGTCACAGAATGCATGATCAAATGGTAACACCAAGAACCTTTCCACTCCACCTCTTCCCCTCTGCCCCCGCCCTGGGCCAAGCTTCTTCCAAACTTCACCTGCTCAATGATGTCTTCTAGTCTTTCTGCCATCTGGACATTGCTGACAAAGGTCACTTTCTAAAATGCAAATGGAATCAAATACCTGTTTAAATCATGCTACTGGCTCCCATCTACCTACTAGACACAGTTCCAACTCCTTAGCATGACTTGTAAGGACTACATCAACCTACCTCTCTGGCCTTACTTTCCTCTACTCTGCTCTGTGTCCTTCACAGTCCTGTATAGATGCTCCTCAACTTACAGTGGGGTTAGTCCCAATAAACTCATTGTGAGTTGAAAATATCGTTAAGTCAAAAACGCATTTAATACACCTAATTTACCAAACATCACAGCTAAGCTTAATCTACCTTATATATGCTCAGAACATTTACATTAGCCTAGAGTTAGCTGGGCAAAATCATCTATAACAAAGCCTATTATAAAGCATTAAGTATTTCATGTGATTTATTGAATACTGCACTCAAAGTGGAAAACATAACGGCTGTACGAGTACTCAATGTACGGTTCCTACTGAATGCATATTGCTCTGTACCACCGTAAGGTCGAAAAATCATTAAGTTGCACCATCTGTGAAAGTCTTGGGCTTTCTCCTGAAACCTCAAGCTCATACACAGTGCTTCGCCTTTGTGTATGCTATTCCCTCTTCCAGAAAGCCTTTCCCGTCTTTTCTTCTAAGCAAAAATTCCTATTCAATCTTCTAAGACACAGCTCAACTGGTACTTCATAAAAAACAAAAATAAAACAAAACAAAACAAAACAAAAAAAACAGAACTAATTTGTGTCAACAATGCTCCCACGGCAGCTTTATCTGCTATTGTTAAAATCACTTGCTTGTACTTGTGTCTTTCCTCATTCACAAAGGCAAAAACTGGGTCTTATCTTCTTTATTAACTCCCCAAAGAGCTATATCACCTGTGTATCAACATTTTGTTCATCGATGAAACAATCAATAAAACAATTTGTTTTAAAGACTCTATTAACTTTTTCAACAAAGCAAAGCATCTTCTAATCATGTGAATCAGACTTTCAAAGCTGATTTTTAAAAAAATAATAGGTTTACATAAGTTAGATGTGACCATAATGAAACCAATTTGCCCTCCTGGCAACTCTGAGGACTCAGGGAGCAATGGCAGAGCCAGCTAAGCTCTCTAGAACCCACGGAGCATTCGCAGGGCCGGCTAAGCCCTCCAGGACGCAGGGTGCAATGGTGGGGCCGGGTAAGCTCTCCGGGAGTTCTGATTAAACGCAGGCTGACTGAGAGGCCACTGAAATAATGACTCCCCAGGTGCTGGCGGTCAGCCATGACCAGGAGCCACAAGTATTATACTATTTAGAAGGAACGTATCTTCCAGGACATTTCTTCCAGAAAATGTTCTATGACAGTTTGCTCCTGAAGATGGAAAACACAGCTCAAGAAAGAAAAGGAAAAAAATATCAGCAACATTATATGTATGGGCTGCAATCTTTTTTTTTTTTTTAAACCTTCTTACATCATAAAACCTCTCTAAAATATACACGATTCAATTCCACATATGGTGATATGTATCAAATGCCCGAAGCTAAAAGGTAGCCATGACAGTCCTAAAAACCTCAGAATTTCTGGTAGCCACAGACAGTAACAGTTGCTCTAATTAGAAACTACAGAAAAAAATAAAAAATAAACAGTATGACTAGTCATACAGTCTTTTTAAGGAACCCAACATGTAGGTCACCAAAATGATTTACAATTTTAGAAAACAAACTATGATTTAAGAATAAATATTCCACAATAATTTTTAATAACAATTTATTTCACTTTCAGAAAATCTAATGTTTTTCTCATATCATTTTACAACAAGAAAGAGAGAAGCAAAGAAAGACCTAGAGAGAAAGAAATCACAGATTTTAGCTCAGAGAGTAGAGCCTGGGATTAATTTTTTAAGATTTGTTTGTCAATTTCAAAACTCAGCAGTGGAATAAGAGCTTAATACAGGTATGCAAAAAGGAAGCCCCCAAGATGTTTTCACCAGGATGAAATGGGATTAGCTTTGTAGTTCTTATAATCTTCTTCACAGAAAAATGCAATTTCGGTTTCACTGGCTGAAAAAAACAAAATGGAAAAAAGATTTTAATGTAAATCTAAATTTTAAACAAGTATGGAAATCCATATTACTTTGATTCGGTGGCTTAGAATAGCTTCAGATGCCTAAAGTGAAAAAGATGAGTTATTTGTTGGGTTGCACAATTGCATTTTACCAAATCAACAAGAAGTTTCAGGTGAAGTTCTAAGAATCGAAGACTCAAACAATTTAAAAATACATTTTAAAAACCCAAAAATTAAAATCAAGAGTTAACATAAGAATCTGGTTTGCAGAAAATCATAAAACTGCTCATTTATAGTACTCTTTACAGTGCTACGAAAGAACAAACCTTGATTTTTTTTTTTTTTTTCAAATATGCTACTCAGGTACGGAAGGAGGGGGAGGGAAAACTCTCTTTCCCCCCTGAAATTAGCCTGTAGGTATAATAATTTAATACTTAGAGGATCAGTAGAATATTTTACAGATCACTTTACATTCTCCCTCATGACCCATCAAAATGTGTGTCTGAAGAAGTTAATTTTTTGCCCTGCTTATGATTAATTCATGCGGCTTCAACAATATGCAAAGTGAAAGACACAAATTGGCTTCTACCTCAATACCTTCAAACACCTCTAATTATTCACAGGGGAGATGGCACAGCTAAAGGACCCACGAAGGTTCAGACCAGTCACAATTCTTTCAACCTAGCAGGTCAAGGACTGCGTCTTCTAAAACAATAAGTCAGCAACATTATTAATTCAGGCTGGAGACAAATCTGATGGAAAGCCTTCCAATTATTAAACATGCAATTCTTTAAGGTGTTGTGCCAACAAGTTCCACATTCGTTTTTTAAATTAAACCAGAAGTTAATACAGTCTGCTTGGCTTTTACAGAAAGAGCAAAAGGGCCTTCACAATCTCCACAAGAAAACAGACCAGATTATTCGTAATGAATACTGAGCACTCAATTAACATACTCTCTAAAAACAGAGAAGTAAAACTCTCCAAGTCAAATAAATAGGATAATAAGAAAGGGTGCCAAGGATTACCACTGGTCTCTTAGTTTACAACCCTCATCTCATCATTAGACTTTATCACAAAAGAATGAAATTAATGAGATTAGCATGCCATTTCATTAAAAATGTTTTTGCTGTTTCTAAGAATATCAAATTTAATGTTTGTTAATCATAAGCTACCCACACTCATTACAGAAAATAAACAAGTGCCAAAAGAAGAAAATAAAGCCACCCATAGTCACAGATCCTCATTCCAGTCCTATACTCTAGCTTCAAGATTAAATTTAATCTGAGTAGATGAAAATCAGATTGCAACCTTGAATCACAAGGAGCTTGTGAGGAATACAGCAGAGAGAAAATGGAGATCAATAAGGAGGGGCTGTAAAAAGATGCACCCCGTGCAGACGGTGAGCTAAGGTACAGTTAAATTTTACAAGCAAGTGGCAGCTAAAAGAATGGGTAAAAGACTCCACACTTGGCATGAGTGGGAAAAAGACAATCAAGAAAGGAAGCTTCAAAAACTTCCATATCCAAAGATCTTTGGAAATCTATCCTTTATACAAAAAGCTCCTGGGGTTTCCCTCTTTGAAGGGAAGCATGCCCAGAGGTAGACTTATATAATTTGCAAGTGATTCTAATCAACCTTCTAATGGAGAATGAGCAAAAGACACCCTGTTCTTAATAATCACAGGGCAAGGTCTTATCCGCGATGTGCTATTTACATATAGAACTTTACACAGGGCTTTGCCCACACAGCACTTCGCTCAATCCACGCTAACTGTAATTACAATTTTCACTTACTGCAGTTGACATTTATCTGAACTCCTTTTGAGAAACTAATATGTTGTACACTTCTTTAGCACAGCAATAGTAGGTTCAGAGAAGCTGATGGAAGGCAAGGACTGAATAAGCAGTTCCGTTTTGACACATAGGTTCTCTTGGGTCCAGTTAACTTAAACACCAATCCATTATTTACGTAAGGCATTTGTGCTAGCTCTCATAATATAGACTCAAAATAAGAGTCTGCAGTGTAAAGATTTTATTTTCAGATGATGGCACTTTTTTTTAGGAAATCTAGGTAAACAAATGGGCTAAAGTATAATACCTCAGGTTGATTTAAAAATTTTGTCATCCTTAACAAATTGGAAAATACACAAATTACAAGTTACTGTGAACACTCAAAAATAAAACATCAAATGGATTTTAAATTTTAGTAATGTGGTCCTTAGAAGTAAACTATAATGTTTTTTGAAATCTGTAAAACTCTGCTAAAAATGTTTGAGAGAATGATTTCAAGGACTTATGCTGCAAATTTGCCAATTTACATGAAAACCAATTATAAATGATTTTTAAGACTTCTACGTAGTCCCTCTTTCCACCATTATCCCTTAAATTCCTGCTTCCCAAATACTATTTAAAATGGCTCCTTTAAAACTGGCTGGGGATGAACCCTCAGGAAGTCTACCTTGTGCTGGTCCCCCAGGGCACCTGATTTTAAATTAAATGTGCTGCAGGCGGCAGTGCAGTCAGGTGCAGAGTGCCTTGGCATGGGAATCTGAAATGAATGTGCAATCTAAAATCCAATAAATACACTGCCACTTCATCCCTTCGTCTAACTATCAAATGAAACTGAGAACCCTCCAAATACATTTGTAAGATCATTTTAATACTGATGTTCAAGTTTAATGAAATAAACACAAGCCAGGGCTTTTAAATTTTGGATATAAAATTAATAATTTTATAATGCTTCCAGACACACAAACACACACACACACACACACACACACACACACACACACACACACAAAACTTTAATAGAAAAATAATAATGACTTTAAATGAAAGAATACAAGAACAATCCATTTTAAGTATAAAATCTCAAGAAAAAATAAATGCAATGTATTTAAACTCTTCAACTAATTTATCTCAATAAACTTATCAAACAACAAGGATTCATCCATACGTTCTGAGTCCCTAGTCTCCTGCTAGTCAGCACCAAGCAGTATGAGGCACAGCCCCTGTTGTCTGGAAAAAGGAGCCCGAGACACACGTACTGACTTTGTGATACAAAAAAATCCACGATCAGGGAGGCTGCCATGGACAGTAATGGCAGACTGTTGACAAAAAAGTACGTGAAGGGCGAGGTGTGGCTTCTGTGACAATCTGAGACCAAACGGACAAAGTTTCACCCTCTCTCACACTCTGGGAGTACAGCCTATCCTCCCAAATTTCACAAAATCCTAATCTACAAATCATTCAAAGCTGTGCTCGCAGCTGAGTTATATCTCTAAGTTTTTTACCACCAACAGAAGTCCCAAGTGCTGTGCCTTTTATTTAATAACTTGCTTCAGATGTTGGTTTTGGATCTGCTAGCAGAGATTTCAAACTATAGTTTGAAGAAAACAACTAGAAAAAAAAAAAATCTGGTCTTTGATAGACTGGGCACATGCCTGTAATTTCCACCACGGTGTGGGGAGGTGAAAAGGGAAACGCTCTACGGAGGTGCCCTCTGAGTCCTGGCTCTGGGATCCTCCAGTTCCCTGGGCCCGACACCCACATTACCGAGTAAGCGGACGATCACTGCTTCTATGCAAAGGTGAAGAATGGCCACCATAACGTACTGTCAAAGGAAGAAAACACGCATGAACTAAGACACTGCTACCCAGAAACAAAAAGGGAAAGGGGCCTACGCCTTAAGGAAACACAAATCAAACATGGACCCTGAAAGACAAGGGGGAGCTGCAGAATCCCACAATACAGCTGAATGGATGAGATCACCCAAAGGGGTGAGGCATGAAGACAGGGTTCTGGTTGGGGGCAGATGGCAGAAGGGACACGCGAAATGAAAACAAACCACAAGGGAGTTTGGGAATTATTACAAGGCCTGGCTTGCCGAGAACGCTTTCCTCAGATAAGCACTTACGGTTTGGCCACTGTATCTTGTTTTAAAATGTTTCCAGTGAAACACAACTGGCTTTGAAGAATTACTCAGCCACAGTTTCTCTCTTAAACCAGGCTAGATTGGAAAGACAACAGTCGTAGAATGTAGCAAAATAAAAGAGAGAAAATAACACTTAAAGAAAAAAAAGCATACATGTAAATGTATTACTTAAGGGAATCAGTCCATAAAGCTGTAATTGCTGGTAACAAGGTAAAAACAATCTTTAAATTCTAAGTAACATTTCTAGGTAAAAGTCTCTTTTTGCTTCCACCTAGCAAATCTTTTTAAAGTACGTATTTTCATACTGAGTCCACAAGCAAAATCTTCCACTGACGTCAGATGTAAAATGTTCCACTGGGATCTGCAGTGCAGATAAAAAGCCAAAGAAAAGAACTAGAGGATTTCTCCATGAGAAAAGAAATCTTCAAACATGTTTTTTCCCCTAATTTCCCCACTTGCAGCCTTTCTTTTCCTTTCACAACTCCAGCAAAAAAACTCCTAATGATAAATTTGTTACCCTGGCATTATTCCCATGGCAACTCACTGTGATAGCAGAGTGACAGCTCTACAGCAAGATCAAGTGGTGAAAAGGGAGACAGGGAAGGCTTCAAATTTTTCTCTTAAGCCTCTTAAAAACCTAACCAGACACGGCATTGAGGGAGAAAAAATTCCCTAGAAAATTCACATATTTCAGGCCGGGTGCAGTGGCTCACGCCTGTAATCCCAGCACTTCGGGAGGACAAGGCAGGCGAGTCACTTGAGGTCAGAAGCTCGAGGCCAGCTTGGCCAACATGGTGAAACCCTGTCTCTCTAAAAATACAAAAATTAGCCAGGCGTGGTGGTGCACACCTGTAATACCACTTACTCGGAGGCTGAGGCAGGAGAATCACTTGAACCCGGGAGGCGGAGGCTGCAGTGAGCCAAGATCTCGCCACAGCACTCTAGCCTGGGTGACAGAGCGAGACTCCATCAAAAAAAAAAAAAAAAACAACACATATTTCAAGTATCATTTTCACAACTCAACTCCCACTTTGAATTTTTTGTTGCTCTCCAGGTACCCTCATCTCCTTCCCCAGGTATAACCTCAGCTTGTCCGCAAGAGCATAGCAACAGCACTTTAGATAACAAAGAGAAAATTGTTCCCTGTAGCCCAAAGCTGCTGGCTTGCCAGAGTCAGGAGGGCAGTTTGGAGTCCTCATACCACCCTGAAATGAGTGGAGAATCTGGGAAAAGAATCTGACTGATCCAGAACCAATATCCTTAAAGTAAGAGGACAGAAAGAGGAATTTGCTTCTCACCTTTACAGATGGTTAATTACATAAGTCAGTTTGAAATTAATCACAATGAGACCAACAACTCAATATTTTAGTGAAGTCAAAACATTTGCCAATTGTCTTCTCCAGGACAGTTTCCAGACAAAGCAGTTGTTCCTAAGAGCCTTTTACGCACATTCCTCCCGATGCCCTCATTGTTTTACACAACCTCATGACATCCTTCTACAACAGGTTTCATTATTCCTATTTTTACAGAAAACGAAATAGAATTTCAGAGAAGGTAAGTGGCTTACAGAAGGCCAGAAAGCAAGCAAAATGCACAGCCTTCATTCTAACCAATTTCCCCCCAATTTGATGGGTTTATACTTACAAAAAAACAAAAAAAGTCCTTTAGTTACAAGGAATACATGTAAACTGTAGAAAAATTTTTAAATCACCAGAAGAGCACTTAGATAATACAGAAAAGAAAAGAAAATATCAATTACTGGCAATGCCACCACCTCAAGAAACCATTTCTATAATTTTGGCATATGTTCTTTTCTCCATATACACACAAACAATAATCTTACATGTATATTTTAAACATTTTAAAACAATAATGAGGTCCAGCACAGTGGCTCACACCTGTAATCCCAACACTTTGGAAGGCCAAGGCAGGTGGATCACCTGAGGTCAGGAGTTCAAGACCAGCCTGGCCAACATGGTGAAACCCCACCTCCACTAAACAACACAAAATCAGCTGGGCGTGGTGACACACGCCTGTAATCCCAGCTACTTGGGAGACTGAGGCAGGAGAATAGCTTGAACCCAGGAAGTGGAGGTTGCAGTGGGCCAAGATTGTGCCACTGCACTCCAGTCCAACTGACAGAGCAAGACTCCAGTCTCAAAACAAAAACAAAAACAAAAAAACCCAAACAATAATGGAATCACACAATATGTTCTATTTCTAGTCAATAAATCAAGCTCTACTGCAGTGATTCACATAAAGGGAAGGTCAGGACTAACCCTACCACCCCTCTGAAAGACCTATCAATAACCTCATCTATAACCTCACAGCTTGTCCCTGTTGACTTAGAAACAAGTATCACTGAAATTCGAACTTGAGAAAGTTTTATTGATCAAACTGACCTGCAGAAAATCAGAGGTCATATTCATTCCCAATAGTGGTAGGAGAAATGCCAGATATAGGTGATGGGGAAGAAGGCAGCAAATCACACTGCCACATGTGTACCTATGCAACAATCTTACATGTTCTACACATATACCCCCAAACCTAAAATGCAATAAAATAAAAAATTTAAAAAAAAGAGTATCCATTCCCTACACCATGCACTCCCCTGGGCAATGCCATTTTTTTCATGTCTGCTAATCTTAAAACAATTCCTGCTTGTCCAAGGTCACCCAGACAGTAAGAGACAGAATCAGGTTTTGGACTCAAGCACTCTGGCTCTAGACTCTAACTTTTATTTTTATAGAGATGAGGTCTCACTGTGTTGTGCAGCTAATCTGGAACTCCTGGCCTCAAGCGATCCACTAGCCTTGGCATCCCAAACTGCTAGGATAAGAGGCGTGAGCCACTGCACCTGGCCCCAGACTAGAGTCTTAACACTAGACTCTGCTATATAAACAGTACCTATGTACTCATTTCTAATAAGCATTCATTCTCTCCTAATAAGGTGAAACTACTTTTCATATGTGAGTTATTTCTTCTATCAGTAGAATTTTTCTTTTTCATAGTAATTACGAGGGCTCTTTATAAAGTTAATAACTTCTTTTCCTTTTTCTTTTTTTGAGACAGAGTCTCACTCTGTTGCCCAGGCTGCAGGGTAGTAGTGTGATCTCAGCTCTCTGACACTGCTACCTTCCAGTTCCAAGTCATTCTCATGCCTCAGCATCCCGAGTAGCTAAGATTGCAGGCATGTGTCACCATGCCTGGCTAAATTTTGTATTTTTAGAGAAGATGAGGTTTCAGTGTTGGCCAGCGTGGTCTCAAATTCCTGACCTCAAGTGATCCTCCCACCTTGGCCTCCCAAAGTGCTGCGATTACAGGCGTGAGCCACTACGCCCGACCCCAGGCTAATAACTTTTCATCTGTTGCATATGCTGCAAATATTTTTCAATGTTTATTGCCTCTTCTTTAACTCTGTTTAGAGTTTTTAGTTTTTATGTAGTCAAATCTATCATGTCTTCCCCTTTATGGCTTCTCTCTTTCAGGTCATTCTTAAAAAGCTCTTCTCTTTCCAAAGATTATAAAATTATTGAACTACATTTTCTTTAAAAAATATTTTTTTCATTATAACATTTAGCCCATCTAGAATTTATTTTGTAATAAAAAAAGAGATGCGATAAGGGTTTGAATTGTATTTTCCTGAATGCTTTGGCAATGAGCTTGACATAATTTTCTAGCTAAATCATTCTTTCTTTATTTGAAATGTCAACTTTATCATCCTGTGAAATATTATTCTTTTTTTAGTTTTTGGATTTTCCAGTGTTTTCCATGGAGCTGTCTGTCAATTACCCCATCAATGTTGGTCAGTCTGTAATATTCATTGTGCCGTATGCTTTAACAACAAGCAGGGCTACCTTCTGGGTACCACATGCCCAATCACAAAGGTGCCACCTGCTACAATAATAAAATAGCATTTGAAGAAACAAATGCCAAATTTAAAAGCATTCTTCAAAATAATAACCTTATATATTCATAACATGGAAAGACATGAATACTCTAGCAAATATTGTAGACGTCAACACAGAAATCGAGTCTAAGATTTCACAACATGCTCTTTAAGATAGTGTTTAAATCAGATCTATGTCAGGAATTCATGCTAGTCACGAGTCAATCAGAAGTAAGTTCCTGATACATGTGATTAAAGTAACTCAAAAGAATACTCGTCAAAAAAATCTCAGGCTTCCCAGTGTGCACCTCACTTACTGTATTCCTTAACCAGTGCATATAAATAATTATGAACAATGTGAGGCCGAGGCAGGTGGATCGCCTGAGCTTAGAAATCCGAGACCAGTCTGGCCAGTATAGTGAAACCCCATCTCTACTAAAAAAAATATAAAAATTCGCCAAGCAAGTGGTGCACAGCTGTGGTCCCAGCTACTCAGGAGGCTGAGGCAGGAGAAGCACTTGAACCTGGGAGGCAGAGGTTGCAGTGAGCTGAGATTGCACCACTGCACTCCAGCCTGGGTAACAGAGCGAGACTCTGTCTCAAAAAATTAATTAATTAACAAATAATTAAGCAGCAGCATGGCTTGTGACACTGCATCAGTCACCGACCGCAGAGGTGTGTCAGGAGCACACTGCCTTCAACCATTCAGACCTACCGAACAATCTCCACTCCCTCTTCTGCCAGATCAGCTTTAGGTCTACATATACGTAGAATAACAGTGACATCTAATGGTCACAAAACATGTCAGATAACATTTCTTTATAATAAAACCACAGCACATTCTAGGCTGGAAGGCCCAATCAGGTACTTTCCAGCTGCACACACCAGGCTCCCATTTTCAATTCCATGCCTTGGTGAGCTGTGAGTGACTCAGAAGACTCTCAAAAACCACACTGCATGTGATACAAACAACGACATGTTTCATTATTCCTCATTAGTTCTACTACGTCCATTTCTCTCCAACCATCGGCTCAAGTGACAATAGTAAGAGTAAGTAGACATGGTACTAACAACCCATCACTTAAAATGACCCTCAGGGGAGTTCTGACCACACTTTCTGAAAAGAGCCATTTGCATTCTGCACACTTGGAGAGCAGACACCTACTGCCCTCGATGAAGAGACCAGAATGCACATCATTCTCGTCCTCCTCCTCTGAACAGTTACCAGGCAGTGTCAAGGGGGCCAAGGGCAGCATTTACTTTCCAGTGAGTTATCCAAATACCATCAGCCAGGCCTTAGCATAGGCCGGGAGAGTGAGTCTCCCCTCCAGCAACACAAGGCCCCCTTCCTCACCGATTCCAGCTGCTTTCAGAGTGCTGCCTTCTTTCAGCAGGAGTCTGTCATCATCCTCCAAACTCAACACAAGTTCATTTGTCTAAAAAACAAAAAAGAAAGAAAATCTGCATTTCATCAGTACTTAATAGGCTTATCTGGTGAGACTTTTCAAAGACACAGAGTTGTAACTTTCAGCACAGCAACAGTCTACGTAGATTCCACTCTCCTGGCCGTAATGAGAGCAGTGATCAGAGGCACCGTGAGGATCTGCCAAGTGCACACACCACGTAAAGCACTGGGGAGAGTTCTGTGGTGTGGGTGTGAATGCAGATCAGGATGCAAATCCAGATTCCACTGGCACCCAGCTGTGTGTTCTCAACAAGCTACATGACCTCTCTAGGACTCGATTTCCTCATCGGCAGAAAAGGGGAGGAGAGGGCCCTTTCCTCATCACCTTGTGGTACGGGTGACACGATGGAGCATATAAACCCTCAGCAGTGCTGCTCGCAGGGTGAGCACACTCTGTTAGCTGTCACTGTTGCGTTGTTGCACCGTCATCATCTTTTCCTGTCATCCTGACCTGGTCAGCAGCTGAGCTGAGCTTTCAGCTCTGGTCAGTCTGACTTCTGAAAGAATCAAGTGTGCTTCCTTTTTTTGTTTTGTTTTTTTGAGACAGAATCTCAATCTGTCACCTAGGCTGGAGTGTAGTGGTGTGATCATGGCTCATGGCTCACTACAGCCTCAATCTCCAAGGCTCAAGCAATCCTCCCATCCTAGCCTCCTGAGTAGCTGGGACTGCATGCATGTGCCACCAAGAACAGCTAATTTTTTTTTTTAGTAGAGATTGGGATCTCACTATATTGCCCAGGCTTGTCTTGAACTCCTGAGGTCAAGTGATCCTCCCACTTTGGCCTCCCAAAATACAGGGATTATAGGCATGAGCCACCATGCCTGGCTACAAGTATACTTCAAATGGCCAAAAGTCCACATATCTAAAAACCTTGCTCAAGCTAAATAGCATTTGATTCCATGTCACATTAATTGGAATATTTCTCTATGTGATTTGGGGTGGAGGTAAACGAGAGTGCTCTCCGGTGATATTTACAAATCCAGTGAGACTCCATAAATACAAGTGAAAATTTAAAGTTGGCTATCTGCTCCTACATAGCACAAAGACGTGACCACTGGTTGGGCACACAGCACCCTCGTCAACCAGAACACACCTGTTTAGCAACATATTCTATTTCTAGAATACAGTTGAAACAGAGAGTCAGCAGAAAGGCCTCTTAGCAGCCAAATCAGAAGCCCTAGGCATGCAGGATTCATGGACCTCATTCACTACAGAGCACAGGGGCTTAAATTCCAGAGCATACAGATCAAAAGAAAAAATACTTCACTCAATCATTTTAGAATAGGGAATACAGTCTGTGATCCCAGCACTTTGGGAGGACAAGGCGGTAGGACTGTTTGAACCCAGGAGTTTGAGACCAACCTGAACAAGATGGCAAGACCCCATCGCTACAAAAAAAAAAAAAAAAAAAAAAAGTTGTATTTAATTAGCTGGGTGTGGTGGCACATACCTGTAGTCCCAGCTACGCAGGAGGCTGAAGCAGGAGGTATCTCGAACCTGGGAGGCAAAGGTTTCAGTGAGCTGTGTTCATGCCTCTGCACTCCAGCCTGACCAAGTGTGAGACTCTGTCTCAAAAAAAAAAAAAAAAAAAAAAAAAAAAGTAATATCTACTCATTATACAAAGTTCTCCAAGCACATATGAATAGAAAGTGAAGTCAGTCTCCTCCCAATCCCCATCCACCAGCTATCTAGTTCTCCAGGGAGGACAGGACCACAGAGAGGACCTGTTTCTCACAGCCTCCCAACAGTGTGTTAGCAAAGCCTTCTGATTCTTGCCAATCTGACAGCTGTGGGTTAAGCATGGAGTTGTAGACTAATTTAGCCAATAGAGTTGCAGAATATCTTCATAGGTGAAGGAAATTCAGCCTCTTCCATAAGTTAGAAAATTCCCCCCAGTTTTCATTTGTTCCTCTCTCTCTCTCTCTCTCTCTCTCTCTCTCTCTCTCTCTCTGTGTGTGTGTGTGTGTGTGTGTGTGTGTGTGTGTGTTTGGAGAGGGATTCTCACTCTGTCGCCAGGCTGGAGTGCAGTAGCACAATCTCAGCTCACTGCAACTTCCACCTCCCAGGTTCAAGAGATTCTCCTGCCTCAGCTTCCAGAGTAGCTGGGACTACAGGTGTGCGCCACCAAGCCCAGCTAATTGTTATATTTTTAGTAGAGATGGGGTTTCACCATGTTGGCCAGGAAGGTCTCCATCTCTTGACCTTGGGATCTGCCTACCTTGGCCTCCCAAAGTGCTGGGATTACAGGCATTAGCCATCACGTCCGGCCATTCTCAGTGGTTTTTTGTTTGTTTGTTTGTTTGTTTACACAGAAGGTGTTAAATAAATTTTGGTGGAATAAGTTAGTGAATGAAGTAAAATGTACCAGTCTCATATTGTTTCTCAGTTTTCTGTCATACTTAGAAAAACTTTCCTCACTCCAATATTTTTTAAATTCCCTATTCTCTTCAAATGTTTTCATGAATTTTATTTTTTGAATTTTTCATCATGGAGAATGTCAAATATAATTATATACAGATAATAAGCCCCCTGCCCTGTACCCGTGGCCCAACTTGAACAAATTATGAAATCATGTTTCATCTGTTTCATCTCTATCCTCATCTAAGGGTTTTTTAATCCAAGGGGTATTTATTTGGGCATAAAGAAAAATACATGGATTTAACTTAGCTGTTTTTTTAGATGTTTACCCAGTTATTCAAATACCATTTTATCAAGCCTCCATCTTTTCTTTACAGACTTGAAATGCCAAATTTACTATACACTCCATTTCCATATTTTAAAATACTGGGGTCTATTTTTGAACTTTTAATTCTGTGCCATTAAATTACCAGGTCATGTGACAGTGTTCTAATGCCATGTGACATACTGGTCTAATTACTATAGTTTTATAATATGTCTTAAATGTTAGAGCTAATTACTCTCATTTCTCTTTTTCAGAATTCTTCTGATTATTATTTTTTACATACTGATTTAAAAATCAGCTTCTTTAGTTTACATATATACACAAGTATTTTATTGGGGCAGCATTAAATACGTAAATTAAGAGAGAATGATTTTATGCTGTTGCATCTTCCTATTTAAAATATCCTAAGCATTTCTATTTAAGTCTTATTTTGGAACCCTCATAGCAGGTTTTGTTTTGTTAAGTTGAAGTACAGTTTCACACAATAAAATGCACAGATCTTGAGAGGAGTTCACTTTAATGGGTCTGAAAAATTAATCCCAGAGTTTAGATTTATATTTTCAAGTATATGTGTGGTGAGGGGTGAGGAAGGACAGCCTCATTTTAAGTTTTTAAGTTTTTTTTTTTTTAAGATATTGCACATTTCTTATAAAGTTTATTCCAGGGTATGATGTCCACACATAAGATGGAAATTAAAGTTGTTATTTCAAACTTTTTAATAGAAATTATTGTGACTTTATAAACCAAACACTGATTATCATCCATAATACACACACGCACACACACACACACACACAGAGAGAGAGAGCGAGAGAGAGAGCGAGAGAGAGAGCGAGAGAGAGAGAGAGAGCAAGAGAGAGAGAAGGCTCTGGTGGGAAGGTATACAGTCAGTCTTTGTGGGAATAGGAAGAAATTTCTGAGGATATCTAGTAATTATAATCAGGAAAGTCTCTAAGCCTAGAAAATTAGGAAAATGGGGAAAATGCCTTTCATGAATGAGTTATTAAGACTCAGGAATTATTTAGAAGTCTCTCCTTTTGGCTGATGAAGGAGATTAAAGTCACAGCTGAGCTGGAACACTGACAGGGCAGGCCAGCGATGCCACAGACCCCGCAGACGGGAAACAGAAAAGGCAAAGGACAGCCATCACTTGGGAGTGAGAAAAATGACTGTGAGCTGGATAAGGCACAAATGAGGACATGTGGATGAAGTTTCTCTGAAGGTTTAAAACTGTATCTGTAAAAATATATTGAACTCTTTCCTTAGAAAAGTTGAAGCAGAAACTTGCAGAACCATCCCCAGTGCATAATACAGTCTGTACTTAACTAGCATCATTACGGTTTGGAAGAAAGTTTATAAAGCCAGATTCCAGAAGCACTCTAAGTGACTTAATTGCTTTGGGAATCTCCCTTAAACAAATACATTGTTCAACTGGAAAAACAAGCCCTAATTTTAAAACTAGAACCTGCGGTGTGAAACATATGTCTTAAATGTAAGTAACAATTCTAAGATTTTTTTTTTTCTGTCTTCCAATGACAGAATTTCCAGATTTTTAAAAATGTTATAATACTGATAATTTGAACACGATGAACTATGTCTTCACTAAGATAAAGGAATAATTCACTACTTACTCCGTTTCAGAAATACGATCATATGAAAAGCCAAACAATGTAAATCATCCAGCAATGAATGGAGAATGGGGACACACTTCGCTCAACAACCTCTTCAAAGAGCATACTGTTTTAACTTTATTTTATATTTATATTTGTATTTTAGATATATATAATATATAAAAATATACAATAGGACATTTCCTATTCTCTACATTTTAGGAACGAGGTTGAAAACATTCCTGTCCCAAAGAAGAAAAATTGGACAAAGTTCCAATACAGTGGACATACATTGTAGTAGCAATCAAAAGGGCAGATTCCATAGCACAGCCCCAGACACGTGTGAGCATGACAAATTTTGAGGCATTTCACAACAGATATCCTAAAATTGGCATGTATAATCCTTGGTATAAAAAATGAAGTTACTAGAAGGAACCAATCCTACTAAACCCTTGGCTTTTGCTCAGTAAAACTGATTTTGGACTTCTGACCTCCAAAATTGGAAGATGATAAATGTGTGTTGTTTTAACCCACAAAAAAAATTTAAATAAAATAAATTTTAAAACACAGTTACTAATCAATAGTCAACAGGCATGCCCGCATGCCATTTTCTTGTGATCTGTGATACTCATTTATTTGAAAGGTGATTGAGTGTATGGAGTACATCTACAACTAGAGAAGACAATGAAATAAAATGAACTCATAAATACTTCATTCAAAAATTGTTATGGAAAAACTCCAATGAGTCAGGCATTGTGCCAGGTATTGGGATATGATGAATAATAACTTGTTCCTGAGTAGTTTATATAATATGGTAAGATTACTGCTTCAGTGAACAGCCAGGTCCTACCCTGCTTAGCTTCTGGATGGAGGCCAAAAGGACTTTAATGAGGACTCTATAGAAGGCCACTGTGATTAAAGAAAAAAGATCACTCTGCTCTGTGCGTATGAGAAGCAAATCTTTGATTGTGGCTTCATAAAAACAGAAACATAAACACACAACAAACCCATAAACAAACAGCTCTCTTTGGGAAAGGCAAGACAACTTCAGAACCTTGGTGGAGCCAAAAGGTGTGCTCCCAGAGCCACAGTTCTGTGCCTTCTCTTATACACAGCAAGGATCAAATCAGAATAAGTGAATTATTTGCATCGGCTTCTGGCCCTATTGTCCTGGTAGAGAATTAAGAAAATCCAAGAGACTGGATTGAGAAGTAATAAGTAGTTTCTTTTATCTGTAAAATGAATTCATTTTCCAAGTTTTATGCTTATTTTATGTTAAATATATGCTTCATAAACAAAATATGGTATACTTTATTTTTTTAAATTAATACTTTTTTAAAAAGGACCTACTACTAACAGGGAAACAGCTTATTTTTTCTTCAGTGAAAATGCTAAGGTGGTAGAAAGGGTACCTACAAAATAAAAAGCGCTACTATAATGGGAAACATTTTAGATGTACATGTATTCATTCACTTATTCCCAAATTCAACCAACATTGATTACTTGCTATGTGCCAGATACTGTACCTTTGGAACATACCTTTGATTTATGGGCTTGATGAATAATCTTCAGTGTATCTGAAAGAAAAAAGTAAGTTATCTTTTTACATGGGTTATTCTAAACTTTTTTTCAAATTATTAAAATGAGTAGAGTAGAGGGTGGTTATGAAACTGAGAAGTGTAAGTTCTTGTTTTATAACCAGACTCACTTAGAAGTATACTATACAGTAAAAGAAAAATTACTTTTATAGATAATGAAAATTGAAGTAAAAGATCTTTCTTTGTCTTTTAAAGACTTGGTCTTTGACACACAGCAGCGTATGTCAGAATTTTATGTCAACTCAGCACATTTTTTCTTAGAACGGAAGACAAGAGAATCACATTACTATATCTTGTTTTTTGGAGTCACTACAGATCAGCATTAGCAAATAATGTAAAAGGAAAAAAAGTCTTAAAATAGACATTAACAAATGCAGTTCAAAAAAATCTACTCAGATGAGATACAACGACAAGAGCAAATGATGATACAGGTGTTACCATCTCAGAATTCAAACACTGTATTTGGGACCACCAGTAATCTGAGCAAGGCTGCTAATGCCCAAGAATATTAATATCTGGTTAATAAATATTGGTTAATACTGGTTAAAAACTCCTGGTTTGTAAATACTGCATGGGCTCACACCATTTAATCTGCTCTATTCAACCAACTTCACTCTAATTTGTTTATCTTAAAGTCGGGCTACAGTGTGCATTTCCAGTAATTTCTCCTTACTTGGGTAAAATTCTAACTCAGCAATCAATCAGCCCTTAATTATATAATGTATGCAGCCATTCTACAGGTTGAAATGCAGAAAGTTTCCAATTCTTTATTCATTTTTATTTAACCATTTAATGCATGCATTATGATTATAATGTATTATTGACTAAACTCCCAACCTTAATCTAAAACTCATTCCTATCAATCACGTTGTAACAAGGAATTCCAACAGTGACATGAAATGAAAGAATCTATTTTTAAAACAGACCTTATTTAACTATGTTCTCATAATACAGAATAAGGTGGTTATTGAGATAAGAACTAGCACCCTGAATTTGATCATTATTTTAAATAGTCAACTTTCAGTTATCTATTGCAATTTTTCTTACAAGGTCAACATAATCCTCAGACTCTGTATTCCTAAGAAATAAAAATAAATATAACCTAAGTAAAATATGCATATTAGGGATGTAAAGAAACCATAGTTGCTGAAAGTAAGCTTACAATGTGTGTAAGAAAATGAAGTTGACTTTCAGCTTACCTAGTATTCTGACTTATCTATCATGCTCTTTATCTTACTATAGATATGTTTATTATTTGAGACAAGTGAGCGAAGCCAATAGTAATTTTTTAAATAACAGGAGTTCAGTCTATTACAATCAACCTGCAAAACTGTAGTCTGACCTTACTAAATATTAATTACGTTCTATACATTTTGCTAATGAGCCTTTAAACTAGAAATCCTGCTGTTCTAATATGTTTGGCCACCACATAATTAAATGGCTATACATTTTAGCAGAAAAAGAAATGTTTTGAACAGAAGTTTTTGCCAGATTTTTCTCTCCAACAGAAAGGGGTGTGGCATGAGGAGTGGGTAAGAAAGGAGAAATGACAAACCAGCAAAGAGATGTATTAATGTCCCTTTCTGTGCTGAATAAGCTACTTCCCTTGTTCTTGCATCTTTAAATAATCCTTGTAATTATCACAAACATCACCTGTGGGCATTGTTTCCTTCATACAAATTCCTTGAGGAAAGCAACCTCATAAACATAGCATCTTATATTTGTGGAGCATCACACACAGCTTTATGAAATAGGGATGAGCAGTCCACACTTTACAACAACCACATTTTTGTATGCCCTCCTGTCTAGACAATAGGGATTTAAAGATGAGTAGCATACATGGTGAGTCAAGAGATGTGGATGCCAATTAAATGGGAGGAGGGCTCTGAGAAATCTCAGGCTCTTGGTGGCAAAGAGAACCAGCCCTTTGCCCTAGGGGAGGGAGATAGTACCTGGCAAAACTGAAATCTGACTCCACACTCTTTCTACTCCCTAATAGCCAACAAAGTGCTCTGTCCACAGACCGTGAGGTGGCAATCCTGGATGACAATGACAGGTGAAAACAATACTACAGGCTTTCTTGTTTAACACAAAGCAGAAGATTGTTAAAGAGCCAAACTCGGACAAAGCCACTTGAAGTCTATCAAAACTCAAGTGGTTCTATAATTTCTTCATAGATAAATGTATTCATTTTTTCTGACAATTCATCTGAATAGTATAGAAATTCTAGGACAGAAGGATGCTAATAAGGTAGAATAGCCTAAAAGGTACATTATCTACCACAATAATGCTTAGCAACTTGGATATTCTAATGCTTTTATTATATAAAATTTCTTTCAAAAGAACTTAGATGGAACACAGCTTTGCATACACGTACACAAAACACACACCATGAAAAAAGGAAACCATATGTAACTATTCTAATTTAAAATGGCATTTGTAAGTTGATTCAAGTTTAAGGCTATATTTCAAGACATTATATTTTGAAAGCCTTGAAAGCCACAATTGAGAAGTTTCATATTTACCTTAATCATGTTTTTTATTCCTTTCTCTTATTCAATATTGAGTATGTAAATTCTTTAAGCCCAATAAATCAAAGTGCTTTCCACTCAGTGCCTTCAACTTCTGCTTGACTACCCCTTATAACCTCACAATTAGTTTCTGGATATTAAAATGCATACACACGGTGAAGACTGTGATTTCAAAGGATTTTAGGTCATAAGTTGTTCTATCAAATAAGAACAGAATGAAAAGCCACTCCAAAAAAAAAAAATCTAAGGTAATAAAAAATTGATACTTTAAAATGTCTGCACCAATTAACAGAAATATTTATTAGGTGCATCATACCTTTCAAATGAAGTCTCCAGTTCAAAGTTTTGTAAGTGTCACTCTGCTGAAGGTTAATAACTGTGCCATCTTTACAACAAATCATGAATGACATCTAGCTTCTTGCCTTATTACTCCATTTTTAAATCATCAATTGTACCATATGAAACTACTGTATAACATGCTCAGATTATTGGCATTTAAAATGTTAAACCCCTTCTTTTAATTATTAGTCTTCAATCATTTTTCCTTTTCTAATTACTTGGCAGAAAAACGCATTTTAAACACAGTTTTGCCAAACATGCTATTCCTTGCAAATATTCTACTTCCTATTACAATTGACTTGAGCAATATAATAGGATTCCTGTATTTCTAAATAAACTTCCAAATTGGCTTTTATTTACAGATAGTCAATTCATTTTTGAAAACAAAGCATAAGTTCGTAACAAACTAATGTAAAATTGTATTCATATATATTTTTAAAAATAAAAAAATTGGTTACCATATTTATAATTTCTGAATGGTGGTGGCAGACTGGTCCTTAAGGGGACATCTACAAGAGAAAGATGATTTTTATTACACAATAAGCAAATAGGCACTCATAGAACATGTATAGTATGTTGATTCTATTCTTCTCTATCTACAGACTAAGTTACTTCAAAAAAACTGATAGAACATAGAATGAATACATCACTGAAATCCAAGGGCCATCTATATTAGTTCATTTTCACACTGCTATGAATAAATATCCAAGACTAAGTAATCTATTTTGAAAAAAAGATGTTTAATGGGCTGAGGAGGCCTCGCAATCATGGTGAAAAGTGTAGGAGGAGCAAAGGCATGTCTTACATGGCGCCAGGAAGAGGGTCTGTGCATGGGAGCTGCCCTTTATAAAACCAACAGATCTATGACACTCACTATCGTTAAGAACAGCATGGGAAAAACCCACCTCCATGATTCAATACCTCCCACCAGGTCCTTCCATGACAGGTGAGGATTATGGGAGTTACAATGCAAAATGAGATTTGGGTAGGGACACAGCCAAACCGTATCACCATCTAAAATATTAGAGCCATTGACAAGATGTTGAGCTGTTACTATCTGAACTAAGACTTCAGTAACACTATTAAAATAATTTTTAATTTCATTAAAGACAACAGTATCTATGTATAGCTAAAATATATACTAATACACTTGTGTGATATGTACATATATATATGGAAGACATATATATATAGCTGATGTTTGTTTGGCATATGAATCTGAGAACCTCTTATGAGTCTTTGGCCATTAGTGGAAACCAATGATCTAGAAAATCTTACTACTCTTATCAAAATTCATATAACCAACAAAATAACTCCTCTAACTCCACAAAGACAACAAAACAAAACACAGTAAATATTCTTTTAAAAACATATTCCAAATGCCAGTACTAATTTTAATTAATAAGATCTACTGGTACAACACCTAATAGAGAAATGTATAACATATATCAAAATTACATATGCATATACTTGACCTAGCCATTCCACTTCAGGATGAATGAGTGAATGAATGAATTTATTGATTAATTGACTGAGACAGGGTATCACTTTGTTGCCCAGGCTGGTCTTAAACTCCTGAATTTAAACAATCTGCCCGCCTTCGCCTCCCAAAGTGCGGGGATTACAGGCGTGAGCTACCATACCCAGACAGAAATTTATTATCATAGAGCTATACTATGCACACATGTGATTATAAAACGACATACAGAGAAGGGTATTAACTGCAGCATTGCTCACAGCAGAAATGTAAGGAAAAAACCAAATTTCCTTCAATTAGGTACTTGTTAAGTAAATCATAGTAGGCCCAAACAATGAAAAATACTTTTCAACTGTTAAAAAAAAAAAAAGAAAAAAGAAAAGGAAGCTCTCTACCGACACGATAACATCTTCAAGATATGTATAGGCTAAAGAGAGAACATTATTTTTAGGAAGCTACCATTAGGGTAAAAAGGGGGTAAAATTAGAATATATGGTTGGATTTGCTTGTACTTGCTGACTGGGGGGTAGGGAGGGCACAGGGGTAGTGCACTGGTCAGACAGGGAAAAGAAGGGGAAATGAGACTTTTCACTATATTCCTTTTTCCATTTTGATCTTAAAACCACGTGAATGTGTTATCTACTAAAGACAAAAACAACGACAAAAAATCCACATATCTAAATTAAGAAATATAGAGGTTTTTTGAGACAGGGTCTTGCTTTGTTGCCCAGGCTGGAGTGCAGGGATGTGATTATGTTCACAGTAGCCTTGACCTCCTGGGCTCAAGCAATCCTCCCACCTCAGCCTCCCAAGTAGCTGGGGACTACTCACCATCATGCCCATAGTCCTGGCATTGTGTGTGTGCGTGTGTGTGTGTGTGTGTGTATGTATGTGTGTGTGTGTGTGTGTGAGAGAGAGAGAGAGAGAGAGAGAGAGAGACATGGGTTTCACTAGGTTGCCCAGGCTGATCTAATATTCCTGGGCTCAAGCAATCCTCCCACCTCACCCCCAAAGTGATGGGATTACAGGCGTGAGCGACTGCACCTGGTCAGGAAATGTGGGTTTTTAAAAAATGCTTTTCCAAGGATTTTCAAATACGTATCAAATTAAAATACAATTTATTCATTTATGTTACAAGTATTTAAAGCACCTACTACCAGGTATCCCAGGAACAGAGTAAAAGAGGAGCCGCCCACTACCGACAGCGTGTGCTCCAGTGGTGAATGCTGTAACAAAAGTACATTTACAGCCAGTGCTACAGTCCTAGGAGTGTGGTCCTCACCCTGGCTGCACATCAGAATCACCCAGCCCGGCACAAGTAGATCCGACTCCAAGTCGGCTGGTACCAGGCACAGATATTTAAACACAAAACAAAAAAATTCCCCTCAGATGATTCGTAGTCAAACAAATTCACATGGGGGCCAGATAGGTGACAACAGGTGAGTGAAGCAGGTCAAACAAGGAGAAGCAATGAGATCTGAGAGCACATGCCCATCAAAGGAGGCTCTGCCAGTCAGTACTGACTGATCACAAGCTGTAGGAACATGAGCCTGGAGTGGCCACACCTAAAGATTTAAATGGCAATGCCACAAGTCTAAGGTTTTAGGTGAAATTTCTTAACTTTTAAAATACCATAAGCCAAGAGAAACCTCTCTGGATTCAGGATTTGCCTGCTAGACACCAATTTATGAAATCTCTGGCTTAGGCTTACCAGAGGATATACACTTCATTTTATTCTTCTTGTGCCTCAATCATTTGTGAATTATGGGCCAAAGTAGTATTCATTAAACATCAGAAAGGAGAATTAATTCCATTTAATGTATTGCCATTTATATATCCTGAATTAGACAATGAAAATCCCTGAAGAAAGCGGTGAGGTGAAGAACAGATGGCCCCATGAAGCTATTATCATTTAGAGATGTCTACGACTGAAGAAATCAAATCAGTCTTATGTTCAATCCAGACTTCCGAGAGAAGAGACAACGACCAGGACACAGTGAGCACCTTTTCTCTTCCTGCCTTTAAATCTCAACTGAAGTGCCACCTCTTTTGACAACCCTGCCTAAAGCAGGGTCTCCTCTGATATTGTTTCCTTCCTAACACGTTTTACATTCATAGTTTCGTCTTTTAACTTATTTTTGTCTCCATTTCCTATGAATACATAAATTCCTCGAGACAAAAACATAGGCTGTTGGCTGGGCACAGTGGCTCATGCCTGTAATCCCAGGACTTTGGGAGGCCGAGGCTGGTGGTGGATCACCTGAGGTCAGAAGTTCAAGACCAGCCTGACCAACATGAAAAAACCCCATCTCTATTAAAAATACAAAATTAGCAAGGCACAGTGTTGTCTGCCTTTAATCCCAGCTACGTGGGAGGTTGAAGCAGGAGAATCACTTGAACCCAGGAGACAGAGGTTGCAGTGAGCCAAGATCACACCCCTGCACTCCAACCTGGGCAAGAAGAACAGAACTCTGTCTCAAAAAAAAAAAAAAGAAAAAGAAAAAGAAAAAAGAAAACATGGGCTGTCCTGTCAAAACCCAGGACCATGTCCTGCACAGAACAAATTAACACAAACTGGTTCGATGAGGGCAGGGACCACAGCCTGTTTTCTTCATTGCGTTGTCAGGACCTAAAATCATGCCTAGTACACAGCATGTACTCAAAAACATCCATGGAAGAATACATATAATTTAACGCATACAATTGCCAGAAGAGAACACTGAGGTCTCAGGAAGTGCCTGGTCAGCCCAAGGTGTCAAGAGCTGGGACCAGAATCCAGCCCTCTTGTCTCCCCTCCTGCAGCACTGAGAAGGGTGGGAACTAAAGCGGTTATCTTCCACAGTGGCAGAAAGACAGATTACACATTAGACACATTCCAGTGAAATAAGAGCTTTGGCAAAAATACATATAAAGATGCCTGCAAAGGAAGTGGAAAAAAGCAAACATGTTCCTTATGCTAAAAGAACATAATTGTGCTAATAGTATAATACTGCTATCTTGCATTATTACGAATAAAACTGGGAACATTCACATGGAGATAATTACTTTCAGTTTTCACAGGCACATATGTTCATTCCACCTACAAGTGGAAAGGCTGAATCATAGGTGTATGTTTAGCTTTCTAAGAAGTTGCTGGCCGAGTGCAGTGGCTCATACCTGGAATCCTAGCACTCTCAAAGGCCAAGACAGGAGGATCACTTAAGCCCAGGAGTTCAAGACCAGCCTGTGCAACATACTGAGACCCTGTCTCTACAAAAATAAAAGTTAAACAAAGACACAGCTATAATCTCAGCACTTTGGGAGGCCGAGGCAGGTGGCTCACCTGAGGTCAGGAGTTGGAGACCAGCCTGACCAACATGGTAAAAACCCATCTCTGCTAAAAATATAAAAATTAGCTGGGCATGGTGGCGGGCACCTGTAATCCCAGCTACTCAGAAGACTGGGGCAGAAGAATCACTTGAACCCAGGAGCCAGAGGTTGCAGTGAGACGAGGTCACGTCATTGCACTCCAGCCTGGGTGACAAAGCAAGACTTTGTCACACACACACACAAAAAAAACATGGTGGTGTCTGTAGTCCCACCTACTCAGGAGGCTGAGGCAGGAGAATCACTTGAACCCAGGAGTTAAGGCTATAGCGAGCTATGATTGCACCACTGTACTCCAGCCTAGGGGAGACAGAGCAGTAGCTATTCCTTTTAATATACCCACTAGTGGTGTATGAGAGTTCCAGTTCTTCCGCATCGTAGCCAAAACTTGCTACAGTTACTCCTTTTAATTTCAGCCAATCTTGTGGTTGTATAATCTCATTGTGGTTTTAATCTCCATTTCTCTAAGGACTAATGATGAGTATTAAATATGCTTATCTGCCATACATGTCTTCTTTAGTTAAGTGTCTGTTCAAATCTTTTGCTCACTTTTAACTGTGTTGTGTGTCTTCTTATTGAGTTATATTGAGTCATAAGAGGTTTTAGTTTTGGTTTTAATTATTATTATTCTAAATAATAGTTCCTTTTTGGGCATTATGTTTCATA